TTTAAGCGTTTATAAATTAATTTCATCGCAAATGTCATATCACTAATATAAATATGTAATTATTATGAGTATGGTTCACACATTGGAAACTGAAACGAAGCTACATTTCGAAAATAAGGGACACAACCGTGTATAAGAGTGGTACGAAGTTAGACAACTCAAACTTAAAACGCTTATCACTTATGTGGAGTAATTGGCCATGTTTAAATGTAAATGGCAGAACTGCTCGACAAAAACATAATTGACAAAGTTTTCAATAAACAATAAGAAAAAGAACAGAACAAGGAAAAAATATAAAATAAGCAAATAATATGCAAAGCAAATTAACAGTAATATGGCAAAAAGTTAACAAAATTTGGGTTGACACACAAGAATGAATTCATATAAATGAATGTAGCATTCTAACTTTAACACAGACTGGGATTGAGTCAGATGAGAACAAGAAATGGCCTATCTTATTGGCTAGGAAGAAATCCCAGCATGCATTTGCATGCTTCTGCCTATAAATTGGGGAGGGGAAAGTGTTTTGCAGCTATTCCCCATTATGATTGGAACCAACTCCCCTACTCACTCTAATGGATGAGTGCACTCATTTTCTTCCTGTATCCCCACTTTCTATGGAATTAATAAATTCAAACAAGATGCATATAAACATTTACAATTGATTAGCATCTTTTTAATATACACTTTCAACTTCTAATATTTCAAAATTTTTTCATTTTTTTTTTTATTTTGTTTAAATAACTTTTAACATTGTAAAATATTTTTTATTATAAATCTCTCTTTTTTTTTTATTTATTAAAAGGGGTAAAAATAATATATATATATATATATATATATATATATATATACACACACACACACACACACATGAATTGTTCACCCGCCAATAATTTACAATTGCATGATGAGATGCATTGATACACATTAAAACATGACTGCAATTGTGTAGCAATTTTGACATGTTTTCAGTGTAATATCCTGAAACATATATCGTATATACTTGTGTATCCTGTGAATTTTGAAGGTCTAATTTTAAGGGGGTTGCATCATGCATGATATATCAAATTAGCTTATGTACTGCTGGCCATGGATATGTCATTGACCAAACTATATGTTCATTTACTGTAGTAAAAAGTACAGCTGTATTTAAAATAAACATGATTTTCATAAAACTGATATTTTACTCAACTCTATCTAATAATAAGGCATATAATATTCACATATTAGTATCACATTATAAAATACAAACAGTGAATATGCATCTTTTCCATTGTTTATGTTTATAAGAAGTTTAGCCATTTTTCATTTGGTTATTTATACCTGTATGCATTTACACAACAGGTATAGCATTACTAACGATACTTTTAATGAGAAAATGGGATAAAGAGATAGAGGAAAAGAGGTTAGTCTATTGTAATTTTGTCTCTCAAAAAAAGGAACTCGCATGATACATGAGAAAATCATTTTTTATAAGTGAAAATTTGGGGGTCACACAATATGCAAGATCATGCGTTACACGAGTGTGTGTGTGTGTGTGTGTATATATATATATATATATATATATATATATATATATATATATAAAATGTAAAAAAAAAATGCTTAGCTTAATTTGGAAATGACTATTCTCATTTAACTTATTGTGAATTAAATTGTTATACTTAGAATTTCACTGCATGACAGTTCACTCTCATTTAAGTCTCTTTACAAATATAATTTACTCTGTCAGTCAAACTATTTTTGTACTAAATTCATTATATAATGGGATGGGATGTTAACATTGTGCTTTATAATGGAAGATAAATTCCTTTTAAGGGAAGCGCATGTAGGTTGTTTAGCATGGAAATATATTGTTCAGTCAGGTTCAAATCCCATCTGAAGCCAGTTAACTGAGTTTTGCACAAATAACCTTGGAAAAGTCTGAATCCTGTCTCCTCTTTCCTCTCTGCTGAAGAGTTAATAGCAGGGTAGACTGGTCTCTCTGACTTTGGTTAGCAGGCAACCAGTCTAAGATAGGCATGTCGCCTTTTTGCTAAAAGAAAAACAAAAAAAGAACAGCATAACATGATGAAAAGGGACCAAAACTTAATAAAACAAAGTTTTATCATCAAAATGTTTAAGAGGAAAGACCAGAGAATTTTTTTTTTTAAGTTTTTAAATCATTCTAACATGTTCAAAATTTTAGTTAAATATCTTTTTTTTTTTTTTTTTTTTTTTTTAAACCTTCGGTATCAAAATTTTATACTGAATTAGTGTAGGTGTCTAGTGTAAGAGAACAATTTGAAAACTGGTTTGACAGGGGAATAGCAACTCTATAAAAGCCTACTTGCTATAGGAATCACAGCAGAAACCCTAGTAAGAGGAGGCTATGATCTTGAAGACTCAAAAGGGAGTCTATAGGGTTTATTTATTTTATTTACACACACACACACACACACACATATATATATATATATATATATATATATATATATATATATATATACATATACACACACACTCACACAATATCAGGGTCCTGGAAACCTTAAAGTCCTAAAAAAATTGACAGAGCTCTTTCTAAGGCTTGAAAAGTCATCGAATTTTCCAAATTGGTCTGCCCACACATCCATTTTTTCAATTCATGAAAGTCAAAATACCAAATTCCAGAAATCTGACTTTTTTCAAACTAAAATTGTCCTTTTTTTTTTCTTTTTTTTTTTTTTTTTTAGTCATTAATAATATTTGGTAATTATTGCAAATGATGGCTTGTTTCCTTGATTAGAATGAGTTGACAAATTGACTCGAAAATGTGGATGGGAAGGATGTTAGAATAGAAAGTTTCCCTTTGACGTATTTTAGGATAGATTGGAAAATGCATTTTTGAAAAAAAAATAAGAAGAATGTTATTTTTAAAGTTTGCAGGCTAATGATGACCTGTATCTTTAGCTTTTGTTGTAAATGTGAAAACATGATGAAATATATTAACTTATTTGGCTTTTATTACTTTATAAAAGTTAAAACTGGCAATCATGTACCTTTTACTTTTGTATTTCTGCCATGAATGACTAGAAAATGTACAAACATGTGAATGACTCTTAGACATTTGGCCAGATGACATCAAATTTGTGAACTTGATTAAAAAAAAAACAGAAAAATTGTCCCCAGACTCAGTCCTTCTCTATGGTGCTGTTAAATGTGAATGATATTTTATTTCCAGTGAAACTGCAGATTTTTGTGTCTGTTTCAAAAGACATTGAACTAAGGAGCTCCACTAAATTTTCAATACCTAAAGTTTAAAATTAATTTTTAAAAATGAAAAATCATTCTTTTTTAGCTTTAATTTAAATGATTACATTTACTATTTCCAGTAAGCAAAATACTTTGGTGTATTTCAAATAGAAATTATGTTGATTGGAATGTCAAAATAATTTAAAATTGACCATTTTTGACACATTTATAAACAAAAGTTAATTCTTGGTTTTAAAAATCTTCAAAAAATAAAATATACTTTTTTTGAAACTTTATTTGAGGAATATTAGCTGGTTTAAAGTATAATTAATTTGATTTGCAAAAAAAATATTTACTTTAAGTTTAAAATAACAGAAATGAATTTTTAAAACAAACAGCAGTGATTACGCACTTGTCACCATTGCTTACTAAACAGGCATTAATAAGCTGTTAACATGTTTATTGTTGTTCTACAGGCGACTTTATCTGTTAAAACATAAATTAAGAAAATGACAGGTGATCGCCTTTTTTATATAATATTTAAGTACTTGGTAATTTTAAAAATGTTAGAAAATATTCCCCATAATTTAATTTAAGGAATGCTGACTTTAATATAACTATAGTCATCGCTCTTATTTTCTGATAATCTCCTGTATGGTTGACCATACTTTCAAACAGGGTCACATTACATAATATTTTATGCATGCAAAAAATTAAAAATCTCGAGGCAAAATACTTTGTATTAAGTGTTTAAATTTTTGATTAGTAAATATAGTTTTCAATTAATAACATTATCACCTAACTGGATTGAAGTAATGCAGAATTTTAAATAATTTATATATTATAAATTATTATAATTAAAATTTAAAAAAAAAAATGAAAATATTCTTGTAAAAATTCATTATTTTTTTACTTAAGACAATAGTGTCCTTAATAAATCTTATTTAAAAAAGTAATTAAAAGCTTTTCTAATTAAATAATGTTAGTTTTATTGCATTTTCTTAATTTTACGATTCAGAGCAGATTTTTCAGGAAATGTGTAGTAGTTTGAAAAAAAAAATTGATGATTTCAAAGAAGTCCTGCTTTTAACTAATAAAAAAGTTTTTCGTGGGGACGATTGTGTCTAGCATGAAACAGCCTGTAGCCTCTAAGTGTTGACTTAACCAAGATTTTCTAAAAAAAAAAAATTTTTTTTAAATTTCATTCATTTGTGAATAAGTCCTATTGCTTTTAATTAAATTAAAAGCATTAGTTCCATTTCATCTTCAAGCGAATATTGGAATAACTTTAAAACTTTAAAACGCACACATAAATTCATGTGAAGATGAAATGGAACTAATGCTTTTAATTTAATTACAAAATTAAATTTGAAGTTTTTAGCTTCCATTTTTGAAACATGGTTATTATTGTGTAGTGAAAAAAACATTTTAAATCAGTTAATTTATAATATTTATGCTCTGTAAATTTACATTGAGCACAGTCTTGTAAAAATAAAAAGTATCAATAAGAACATCGGATTACATATCTTACTGTTCTTTTTTATTTATATATATTTATATATATATATATATATATATATATATATATATATATATATATATATATATATATATACACACACACACACACACACACACACACATAAACAATTATATTAACATAATGTTTTATTTCAGAAATTATTTATGCTCTAAAAAATTGTCAATATTTTTATCTGACAAAACATTTGATTACTATTATTTTAACATTATATTAATATTATTATTTTAATGTTTGTGTTTTGCAGTGAAGAAAATGTTCAAGGAGGAAGAGTCTTGCCAAGCAGAAGTGACGCTGGTATCTTTGAAAACGAACCTGCAGTTTTAGAAGGCGTTGCACGCTACACTGAATGCAAAGACGAGGACAAGCTTCCTGAGCAGGGTACTGCCAGAAACTTGGCTGCAAGGTTTAAGGAGATTCAAGATGAATCAGTCAGGCCTTCTGTCTCTCAAAAGCGCGATATCACTCCTGAGCGATTTGAAGAGAAGTCCGAATTCGTATCTGAGCCACGGTCTAAGATTGAAACATATGAAGGAAAAGCTGAATCTGGAATTTTTGAAAGTCAACCTGAGGAATTGAGTGAGAGCATTGTCTCTGGCTATGTTAAGAATGAGGAAAAACTTCCTGAGAAAGGGACTACTGATAATATCTTACAGAAGTTTAAAGATATCCAGTCAACCCCTGTCCAAAAGGAGAACCAAGGCAAAAGAGAAATTACTCCTGACCGAAGTGGAAAATCTGAGTATGTCTCTGAACCAAGAACATCATTTGAAGAATATGTTGGTAAACCTGAGAGCGGCATCTTCGAGAGCCAACCAGTACGTGATCCAAATGTTATCCGTCCCGAAGATGAAGACGAAGAAGAGATTCTTCCAAACCAAGGTACAGCTCGAAATTTGGTGGCAAAGTTCAAGAAACTACAGGAGGAACAGCCATATGTCCCTAAAAAACCTATCGATATTCTTCCATCAAACACGAGTGTTGAACCATCTATCGTGGAGAGCAAACCGATTAGTCTTGAAGGCGTCGTCAAAGAAGGTGATGAAACTGAGGAGAAATATCCGGAGAAGGGCCAAACCCGCAACCTTTTGGCAAAGTTTCGAGAAATAGAGAGTGGAGGAGGTTCTCAGTCACCTTCTCCTCGTAGCCGTAAAGAGTTCACCCCGCCACGTGAACACCCACGGGGCATAAATTCCGGCAACCAGGAGAGTGGCGTTTATGAAAACACTCCAAAGAAGGGGCTGGAGTATCAACCAGTCAAGATTGAAGGAGGGATCTTCGAGAATGAACCGGTCAGTCGACCAGATGTGGTGAAAGAAGCAGACCGCTTTGAGGAAAGGTTGCCAGAACAAGGAACTGCCCGTAACCTGCTTTCAAAGTTCAAGCAGATTCAAAACGATGCATCTGTCAAGTCACCCACCTCCCCCAGATCGATGAAAGAGTTCACCCCACCAAGAGACGACTTGCCAACTCACCAAACGGGACTCAACGAGAGTGGAATTGTCGAAAACGAGCCGCAGTATCGACCAGATGTCTTAAGGGAAGCGGACACAGATTGGAATGAGGGAATGCCTTCCAAGGGATCGGCCAAAAGTGTTGTCGATAAATTCAAATGCATTCAAGAAGAAGCCAAGAAAGAGTCGGTTAAGGCAATGCCGAAAAAGGTAAGAATAATCTTCCCTTTGACCCATTCGGATCCCTGTATGTTTTCAGTTATTTTCTTTTCTGTTATGTTGCTTTCTTTTTGTTTTATTTCAGCGAAGAAAATGAAAGAAATTTAGCTTTCCATCTTTGCTTGATAGTTCTTTACAGTTAATGTTTGTGCACACATTTAAAAAATGCTCTGTCAAATGTGACATTTGTTTTCCTTCTCAGCACCTTGTTGTTGTTTTTTTTTTTTTTAACAAAAAATCAGAAAAGAAAAAAACTAACAAATTTTTTTTTTTTTGCTACCCTCATTATCAGATTGCTTTTATTCATTTTCATCTCATCAAATCAATTCTTTTTAGTTACTCTCTTTTAATTTCATCATAGAGATAGCTTTTGTTTTTTGTTGCTTTGATTGTTGTGAAACCTTTACCTCCAAATCGTTCTACGACTTTCAAGTGCACAGTCCATAACAGGCAGTTCAGTAATTAGAACAACTTTTGGAATAATGATTATTCCTCTCAAAATTATACAAATGGTTGATAGCTCTATTTTATTTTTTTTTTATTTTTTCATTTGAAGAATTATTATGAAACTCTGTAACAGTTAAAATCGGTTTTGAGAAGAAGTGTCACTATCATCCCAAGAATTGTTTTGGAGTATTGATTTTTTTTTTTTTTTGTTACCACTATATATTATCTGATTCATTCTACACCATTCTGTAAATTTGAGAAGAGTTCTTATCATTCCAATAGTTGTTTAGTCTATTGATGTTATTTCTTTTTGTTGCTTTTATCATATTTTGGCCCATCCATTCTACAGCCTTCCTTGTATGCAAAGTCCATATGGAAAGAGAGCATCTCTTTCTAATTTTTTTTTTTTTTTTTTTTTTTTTTTTTTTAAGTTTTATTATTTGTTTCCTCACTATTTTCAGATTTTTTTTTTTTTTTTTTTTTTTTTTTTTTTTTGGTGGGATGGCACTATTTTCTAGCTTAGATAACCATACCACTTTTTCCATAAAGATTGAACACCTGAGAAAAGAAAGTCATAGAATAGATCAATTAAAATGTTTCAATAACAAATGACGAAAATAATTATCCAAAAAATTCTGGAATTATATTCTTACTCTTTGAGATTTTGGTTTTTGGCCTCATTTTATAGGAACTTCATTAAAAACCATCTGAACTTGTCAAATGGAAACTGAAAAATTTAATATGCATATAAAGACACATATATTTTTCGACACCACTTCTCTTAGAGACTCAATATTACATATATTTCTAAACAGAAGTAAAAAAAAAAAAATATCAAGTTTTCAAAATTTTTAAGAATGCTCTAAAATATTCTTATATATAAAGCTATTTGGGCATTTACATCGGAGCTTCCCAAACTGGTGTTGCAATATCAGTTCAGTTTATTATTCATTAGTTCTTTAATTATTAATTAAACTTTTCATTGTATTATTTTTCTAATATGCATACACTTTGAATTATATATATAGCTTGAACATTAAAAATTTATATATATATATACACACACACACACACTATTAAAAATTATATATATATATATACACACACACACTATTAAAAATTATATATATATATATATATATATATATATATATATATATATGGCTTCAACACCTGAAGTATAAATTCTTTGGCTGCAAATCCATGGTCTCTTAAGACCAACAGATGCCACATATATGGCTTCACTATTAAAATAATGTGTTGCAAAAAAAAGTTAACTATTGCAATGTAGAAATTTTGTAATGTTCTGGTGTAGATATCTACTTTGTTTAATGTGAGGCACTCAGTGAGAATCATCATGTTTCACAGTAGTAATGGCTGTAGCACCCATTGGCTAAACTATCGTGGTTGTCACTCCGCCACAACAAATCATGCAAGAAAGATAACAGATTTTGATGGCTTATCTTCATCTGGCATGAGGACATCTGGTTGGAAATGAAATTTCTGTTCACAATATTTCAAGTAGAGAAAAGCACCTTTCCTTTAAAGTCAACATCCAGAACCATGACTTTTACACTATTCTTCCATGCAACATTGAAAATACTTTTAAATTTCTCCAGCATCCTAATTATTTCATATATAATGCTTGTTGGAAAGCTTACTAAATTCTCAAAATTAGAAAAGAAAATTAATAATCATGATAAAACTAGGCACATAATATTACATAACAACTCCATAACAAGTACAATTGAAAATTTATCTAAATTTAGACAATTACTTAAATATCAATAAGAGATTTAACTAATACAAAATAATGTAACCTTGAATCTGAAGCAGGAAAAAGAATAAAAAAGTGTGTGTGTGAATACCAGTAATGACATTTTTTAACTAACTTAGCTCTGTGTCCATATAAAATGTGTGCCTGTTTTTTTTTTGTTTAGTTTTTTTTTTCACACCAGAAAAGGCAATAAAGACGCTAAGATGTAAAGGGTTAGAGAATATGTGAAAAAGAAAACATTAGAGATAACAATAAAAGAAGAGAAATTAAGAAGACAAAAGATAACAACTGACATTGTATTTAAATTTTTGAAGAGCAAAGATGACTGAAAAACAAGAAGCTGGAAGAGAGTTTGCTATGGCAGCGCCAACTAAGGGAGATAACTGTACGGAGTTATAGGCCTTGATCGTGGAGTTTTGGCTGGGGAGGACTAGAACAATGGTGGACGCATAAACACACGTGCAAATCACGGCTCTATTCAACTCTCTCCCATTCGCTGGTTATATGTCGGTATTACCAAAAGTAAAGGTTTAAATAATAACAATATCTGATCTTCAACTTGATTATTTTGTTATAACAAGAGTTTCACAAATGAGAAGTGCAAGATAAGAAACAATTTGCATAGAATTATGGTTACATTGAGCTATTTCAACTTTAAAATGATGAAACCTAGCTATATAGTACTGTGCTTAAATTCATAAAGTTTACATGCCAAAGAGGAAACACACACAATTTCCAACTGACATGTTCAGATGATTTTTTTTTTTTTTTTTTTTTTTTTTATAATTTCCTTGATTACCCAGGATACATAAAATTACATTTTTTTTTTATATTCTTAGGCTTCTGTTTTTCATATGACTAAATGTGCAAAAACGATTTTTTCAAAATTTTTATTTATGAAATTCTCTAAATTTTTGCTAATTAAAATATTATAGCCTTATTTATTGAGAGAATATGGTTACCAACACTTTTTGAAACACTGTACAAATTATGCTGACCCAGCCATGTTGCCACTTTCACTTCCTTATTGGCAGGTCACACTTCACTAATCAGATCTCATCTCATCACACTAACCACAACTGGTCACATACCACTGACCTAACAGTAAAGGTCATGTTATTTTTCACTTGAAATGTCACAGATCTACAAATACAGGGTATGATGGGTAAATTGACGCCATTTTATATTTTTAATTTCATGTGTGCATGTTGCTTGTTTTTGATTTTGTTGACTGCACAGTATAGTAGGGACAGTTAGGCACCGTCTATGAGAAAAAGAGCACCATGACACAATTCACTCCTCCAGAAATTTGGAAATGGCACACTCCAATAAAAACATTTCCGAGTGTTTGTGTGTCAATCTGAGGATAGTGCAGAGGATTCAGAAAGAGTTGGATGAGTCTAATGATGATTACAAAGGTGTGGCAGCTTGAAAAACTCACTTTGATCATTCTGATAAGAAAACAGCTCATGAATTTCTTGGTGAGGGCCTCAGACTCAATATTGTAACCTCCATCAAGTCTCTTGAGGAGGTAATGCTGACCTGGGTCAAGAGGTCAAGGGGGTGGCTGCTGGAAGACCTGATGTCTGGCAACAGTACTCTGCTCCATGCCACACCTGCAGGCAAACTCGGTCATGGTTGTCAGACAATTTTTGCGACCGCATCACCCCTTATATCTGGCCACCTAACTCCCCAGACTGCAAACCTCTTGATTATTATGTGTGGGACACAGTTGAGCAAGAGATGAACAAAACTCTTTGTAACACCAAAGATGAACTGAAAGCAAGGATTATGGCAGCATTCACCAACTTAAACAAGGAGATCGTCCAGAAGAGTTGCAGTAGTTTCTGAAGTCATCTGGTGTCCGTGGTTAAAGCCAATGGCGATTTTATTGAATAAGTTTACTCTTTAGTATTTCAAGATATTTTTGTGTAATTTTGGTAAATATATCTGTTAAAATAAGATGCCTATGTTATTTTCATTTTTGCATCATTTAGACGACAATTTATCCATCGCACCCTGTACAACTATATTGAATCCTCTTCTAGCATTTTCTACTCACCTGGCAACAGTTTTGCACTCTTGTTCACAATTCTCGTTTTGCAGTGGAGGAATTTTTGAGAAAAAAAATCTAATTTAGCTAAAATAATTACATAGTATTTAGTTATTGCTATTTAGTTTTAAAACAGAAGCCTTTTTTCTTTCTTTTTTTTTTTTTTTTTTTTTTTTAGTTATTGTTGTAAGTGGTAACTTTTTACGAATGTCTAAATTTTATTCAATGTTAATATTTGAACTTTGTCTTCGCATTTCAGATGCGCTTATTGAATATTCTTCTAATTATTGTACAAATGGAATGTTTTGCACATAAATATCTTCCATGCTTTTCTGGTTTAAAAGCTTTCAGATGAGAAAGCTTTTGAGAAGAAAATCTTTATACTACCATCATAATAATACAAATCAGTAACCGCTATCAAAATATGTAGAAATGGCTAGAATTTAACATATGAGCAGAATTTTACTATGTTTTCTTGTGCATAACACACACACATTCTAAATGAAAATTAAAGGCAAAAAGAGGGTGTTGTCTTCTACACAAGTACAGGTTTTCAGAAACTTTTACTCAGCTTAAAATACCTTATTTAAAATGGAAAGATTGCAAATGAACTCATCACAATAGATAATAAAACACAAAGTAGGCAGGTGTTGATTACAATTTTTTACAAAAGGTGTTTGATATGTATGCAATATTTGGCCTTTAGGAATCAGCATAGTTGAACAATAATTAAGAAAGGGAATGCAGAAAATTTGTCATGTTTTAATAACATTAATGTTGCAACAAAGCACCTTTCCCTGAAAATTCAAAAAACAAGTTTTGAAATGCAAATTAGGTGAAGAAACATGCTTTGGGTAAACATTCAGTTCATTACTATTCTTTAATGTTGTGAAAAATTAAATATTTTGGTGAAACATTAAGATTTTAATGAATAATATGGTACAACTTTAAAAAAAAAAATTACACAGGTATGGCTGTACAACAGGGTCGTATTGTACTCAAGGATGCAATTTATTCCCTGATTTTAACTTCAGAAACATGGGGTTTTATTATGCAGAAGTTGTGTTATACACAATAAAATATGGTATTTCAAGAAAGTGCTCAATAGAGAACTCTAGCAATGTAGTCAATAAATATTTCTTGTCCTTTGTAGATCTTTGTGAAGTTTTTTTTTTGTTATCTCTCCTAATCCCTGTTCTACCAACCATTTACACAAGCTTATCAGGCAGGGGTTATGTGCTATTTTTCTCTGTCCCTTTTGCCTTCAATGTGTCCTGTGAGTGTCAAATTGCTCACATTCTCCATCCATAATATTCTCGGTATCCTTCTGCAGAACAATGTTATTGCATATATGTTATGGAGAACATGACAATTGAGAAATAAGTTCCAAATTTGCCCTACAGTGAACTTACTTTCATTTAGTGTTATTTTCTATTTATAGAATTTATATTGTTAATTATTTGCAAATTGTGATTAACTGCAGTTGATATCTCCACTATTCATAGAACTGCAATGATGAAATTTCCCATCTTCAGTTAATTGAATAAAGTATCATTTTACTAACAAGGGAGACAACTTTAATAAACATTTAAGAGACCTTGAGAAACTTTCAGTCACTAAGCAAATTTTTAAGTGGAAGTAAAATATTATTAGAAAGAAAGGAAAATGCTGAACTGCTATTTAATATCTACTCCTATATGGCAGTAAATACTGAACAGTTTCCTCAAAGATGAAGAAAAAACTTTAGGCAACAGAGATGTGGTTCTACTGACAAATGCTAAGAATAGCATGGATAGAACATGTGAACAATGAAGAAGTTTTTAAAAAAAAAACTGGAACAAGGAAATTTGCAATATGAAAGAGTTGAAATTTCTGGGATACATTATGAGAAAAGAGAACCTGCAGCATTTAATACTCACAAAACACTGAAGCCAAGCAGGGCCAAGTGAAACGATAAGTAACCTATGTAATTAGTTTTTGAATAGATGACAGAGACAAAAGGATGGGGGAAAATCAAAAGTTAGAATAACAAAAGGCAGTAACTCATGAAAAACTGTCATTACCCATGTCTTGAACAGATATGGCACCTAAAGTTCTCTGTTGGACTTTTTTCTTTTATTTATTAAAATTACTTTATTAAAAGCTACTTGAAACTGATGACTTGATTTGACCAGAAAGTTAAGGAAGTGCTGTTAAAATGCTCTAACAAAATTATGCTACAGTGTGCTGTTTTTGCAACATTATAATAACAAACATGCAGAAATATGATCATTATGATATAGATTTTTTTCAGCATATTATTTCTCAGAATTCCATCCATTTTTGCAGTTCCATTTTAATTTTTCCATTTAGATTAATTGAAGGTAATCAGAAGAATTGTTCTGTTCAAATATTTCATTGTAATTTGTATTAGACTGAAAAAAATAAACAAACCACTTACCAGTAACTAAAATATTGATATTTCTTTCCTCTTTTCTGTTATTTTTATTACATCTCTCACATCTGTCGTGAAGGGAGATAACTGCTATACATAGAAGAAACATAATAACAATGCTTCCTCTAAAAGTATTTGAAAAAAAAAAAAAAAATTTTCATATCAAATAAAATTACTGGTAAAAATTGTTGAGGAATGTTACAATTACAAGTAGTAGAACCATCTATAATGCAAGCACAAAATATTGTTTCAGATCATAAAAAAATATTGCCCCTACCCTCACCAAAAAATAAAACTAGCATTAATTTTTGCTGTTAACTTAAAACTCAGGCTGTTTACTTTTGGACTATTCCCCCCCACCCGGCATGGTAACCTAAGAAACATTATTAAAAATCGTTTTAAATATGGTATTTTCTGCAATATGACCCTCAGAGTGAAATAATTAAAATTATTTTATATGCTAAATATTTTTCCTAAAATTAGTGATCATTCTTTTTAGCTAATTCAAAACTAGTATCTTTATATTTTTTCATTGGTTTGTTATAATCAATATATTTTTTATGCTACATTATTCATCACAAGTTGAATGTCTTGCTGATATGAGTCAAAATTTTAATTCATTTGCTTGTACGGCTGTCATTTGTCAATTGTCAGATTTTGGTTCACCATATTCCCTTTTATTGTTTTCATGCCTGATTTCTGTAGACTTTGTTTTCAACAACAATTATCTCTCTTTTTTTTTCTTTTTGACACATTCTTCTTACACCATAACTATCAGGATTACATTATAACTTTCAGAAGAGTCATGAACATTTCAAATTTTCTTCAATAATTGATCCCCTTTTTAATGTTCTTAACACAGTGTTTCTACAGATCCGTTCTCCTTAGAAAATAATTTTTTTTCTTCTTAGTTGTAATTCTGATGAGTTATATTTTCAAAAGTTTTCACTCTTTTTTTTTTCTGCATCACTGCAGTCATATGATCTTTTATTTGATTAGGCAACGTTACGAAAAAGGGAGGCAACTCAAGACGCAGAAATAATTCTCGAGTTATGTCCCTTGGATAGTCGAATTTAAAAAAATTTTTTTCCTTTCCTCTTTCATTTTTCTTTCTTTTCTTTTTTTTATCTATTTATTTCAGTTAATAATTAATTGGAAATTATTCTGGAATAGGTGGACCAATATGACTGGAATTTTATGTTATTCCCCAAGTTACAGCATTTTAACAATATTGCTTTGAGGATATTTTTCTAAAATATACCCGATTTTGCTTTATGTTCATGGACATGAAGAGGAGCTCCACTTTTTAGTTCCACCAGTTCAGCCATTTACAACTAGGACATGTCATGCTACTACCATGGAATCAAATCACCTATTGTAATCCATTTGTAAAGAGAAAGTTCTATTCAGACAGCTTTTTTCCAATAATTGCTACTTTGTGGAACAGACTCCTGTGTGGATGCTTCTCTGAACTCAACTATCTTACCCTCTTCAAGTCAAAGGTCAATTATTATCTATCCTTCTTACCTCATATTCTTCATTTCTTCTCTTCTCTTTCATTCATATAACACGTCTCATTCATCAGAAACATTTTAACAGTAACCCTCTACCTTGAGCGGCTCTTGAGCGAAGTTTAGTATTAATAATTAAAAAAAAAAAGGAAAGATACAGAAATCTTAACTTCTTTACAGATTGAAAAACTTTAGGCTACAGATTTTTCATCCTGATTTAAAATGGCTGCTATTTGATAATTGTCTAATTCTGGTTAAAGAAATGGTCTCTCAGTAATCAGGCTTTGTTGTTATTGATGAGAATACATGAAATATATTTAAATTTGCATTTATTCTAATTGGCAGTTTGTAACAAGATCAATCTGACAAGTGTGTCCTTCTCACAAATGACAGCCTGTCTTAGTGGTGTGTTTTTTGTTTGAGTTTTAAGTTCTGCATCTTTTTTATTCTGTTTTTATTTATATGTAAAAATCACATTCTTCAACTCCAAGTATTACAGTTTCGTCCAAAATAAATATAGAATTCTCTTTACTATTTTTTTTTTTTTTTTTTTTCACGCTTTTCTTTTTCTTTTTTTTTGCCCTGTTTTGGTTTCAGGAGGAATTATGCTACTTTTTTTTCTTCCATAGTTAAACTAAAGCACATTCATGCTCCATTTGTGAGCAGACCAGCGCCTCACATCAGGTATATGTTGCATGTAGACATTTTTTTGCCAGTACCTCCCTTATTGCATCTATAACAATCACTGCTGTTATTGTAATATTATTAATAATGTTTATATTACATTATGTCATCATCATCATCATTATTATTATTATATTTCTCTATGTAAAAATCAGTGTGATTGTGTGTATCTCCACACTTCTTCCAAAAGATGTCTGTATTGATTTAAACCAAAGTTTGTGTTTATTCTTTCAATTGCCTGAGTTTAATATTTAAGAATATACATGATTTAGTATTGAAAGAATAAAATGCTTTAGACTTAGGTTATCTTTTATAGATTTATGCAAATACAAAGATTATTTGTCTTTTATAATTTTAATTAGATCTTTTTTTTTTGTACAAGTTTAACATTTTTCTTTATTCAATCTTTAAAATCCTTATTCAAGAAATTTGTCAAGATAAGCAGTTTTCAACCAGGATCTATAAGTAACGGATTTCACATTTTCCTGTATTTAAAGAAGTTGGGCATTAAACTATGATTGCATTTATAGTGTCATGCATAGAATATTTTCATTTGTATTTTTTTTTAATCTTAGGATTTTTATGCATTTATTATCTGTAACACTTTGATTTTATACATGAAATAGAATAACTGTAAACTTTCTTATGTTATATATAGATAAAGTTAGATAATGTTGGTAAAGAAATTATTTGCTTATAATGCATTAGAAGCTTGAGAAGGGCTGATGTAAATAAAAACAAAGTTTGGCCAAAATCACTTCAGACATTTTGTATATTGTCAGTATTACTGGTGTTAACACTTGTTAGTGTTGATACAAGTAAATTATTATTATAATAATAAAAGTAATGATTAAGATTAATTCTGAAAAGTGGTTTTGTTAGTTTGAAACATCTGTGTCGTGTTTTGGCATGGATGAATTTCTTATGGCATAGCTTAGAATAATGCTGCAAAAAGAAAATTTTTTGAATATTTGCCTGTTACGCTCTTGCGTGCTCCAATTTACATTCTTGCTTGCCTTCAGAGGAAAAAAGTGAGATTCTGTACAGCAAAGTCAGAAAAAATGGACATTAAGCTGCAGAAAAAAAAGGATATTGGATATTTATTGATTATTTTAGTGAATTAGTTATCAGATCACTAACCAATCCCCAACACTCACTTTTTTTTTACATGTTTCTTTTTGTTAATTTTTTGTTTTTGTCTAATTTATTCATCCTCCAAAGATTGTTTTTCTTATTGCTTTTCAAGACCATTAGTAAATAAATAATAAACTGTACACTGCATCTATGAAGGGATATTGAAAAGCTCTCTGCCTGACCAAACTTTTGAGTTTTTGTTTGTTTTAGGGTTCCTTGGTCAGGCCCAAAACATTTAAGCACCTCCACTCAAACACACACACACACACATATATATATATATATATATATATATATATATAGCCAGCAATCATTCATTTATACAGCTGTATTTGGAGACCAAGAAAACAAAGGCTTTTTGTTATGTTTATTTTTTAATTTTTCTTCGGTTTCTGGCCTTATTTCTGGTTTCTTGTAAAAATTTGAACACAAAATCTCTTCTGAAGACATTGAACAATTTAAGTATAAAAATTTCTCTAGAAATCAGAAAAAATGGTCTAAACAGTAGAATTTTTTTTTTTATCCAGTTTTTAATTTACTCTTCAATTAAACCTGCTTTTATATATATATATATATATATATATATATATATATATATATATATATATATTTTTCATAAGAACTGGGATAACTTGAGAGAAGAACAAACAGATATTTACTTATCTAAGACACATCTCATTGAGTACACATACATATATTCATTATATATTTCTGTCATAGTGTATGGCAAATTCATTTTTTAATCTCTTTTTTTTCTCTTCTTGAACAATTTTACATTTTCCTAATATGTCAAAAACTTTGCCAAATAAAAAAAACAAAAAAAAAAAACAAATTCTCAAAAATTTATAAACTTACCAATCTGAAGAATTCTTTTGATGTACTTACTTGAAAAATGTTTAAAGAATAGCATAGTACCTATTAAACATGACAGGATTATTTACCAATGGATCAACACTTCTGGTGACGATCAGGATATCTGTGCACTCCACCTTAGCACAATGTTTATCTCCTCAACTTTTAAAGTATTATATACAATAGGGCCATCATTTCTATATGACAACAATTTGAAAAAGCAAAAGAGAGGAAGGAGAAAGGTGTGAAGGAGGACAGGTAGAGAAAAATGTAAAGAAAGTTGTGTAAAAGGAAAATGGTAAGGAACAGAAAAAGACAACCAGAAAAGTTTACAGCCTTGAGCTTACTTACTCCTTTACCCCTTTGATCTTTTAAGTGGGTGAAGCTTTAGTCATTTTTTTCTTTTGGAAAGTGATACACTTTACATAGAAAGGTAGGTTGATAGATCTACAGTATTAACATATAGTCTTCTTTCTAATGGTGAGCTTAAATTTCAATAGGTTACAAGGTCATACCTATACCAACTAAGATGGTATCTATATCTTTAACTTAAAGTTAATACAACACAGATATCAAATGAAAGGATTAAGTTGACAGTTATTTTTAATTTTCTTGATTAAACAATAAATTTATCAAAGAATTTTCTCTTATTTAGAAAAAGAATGCCTCTTTATCTTTATTGCAATTTAGGTATATTTTCACTACTAAATCTCATAAATATAGTTTCATCAAACTCCTACTGGTTAGTTTTAAGCACTAATATGTGTGTATGAGTATAGCGTGAGTTTTTGACACAAAAATAGAATCACACTATACACAGGTATTTTTTTTTTCTGAAGAGTTTAAAACTCATGCATTTTCAGTGACCAGTTGCACTATGCACAGGTAAATTTTTTTCTGGAGGAGTTAAAATTCATGCAAAAAAATTCAGGAGTCACACTATACATGAAGTCAACTTACACACAAGTATATACAATGTTTAGATGAATATATTTAAATTTTTGTTCCATTATTTGCAGCTTTTAAAAATGTAATTTTAACCATAAAAGGATACTAGCTTCAAATAGATATTTTGCTTTAAACAATTGTTTAATTACTATATTTGTTTAAATAAGCTTATTAAATTCAAGCATGTGTACAGATTATTAAAATGACTAAAAATTGTTTTCTCTTTTTTTTCCAAAAAAACATTTTTTCATTTTATTTTTATTTATTTTTATTTTGTAAATAAACTTCAACACTGCCAATCTAATAACCCCATGTAAATGTACAAAGATTTTTTTTTTTTTTTTTTTTTTTTTAACAAAATTCTGATTTTCCAAAATTTTGCATTTTTCTTGAAATTCTGGCTGGTGTTTTAATTTATTTTATTTTTTTATTTTTTTTTTTTCACCCTGACAAATTTTAAATTTACCTCAGATCTAAATCCTAACAAAAATACATTTTAAGTTATCTCCCCTTAGTAAACAAATAAAATAATTTTGTTTTTTCTTGTCACAATCTTTTCTGACCTCTTACTTCAATCCCCTTCATTCTAATTTTGGAGTCACTGACCATGGAATAAAAAAGCAGCAGCAGCAGCATCAACCTAAAGAACTAATCAGGGAATCAGTTGCGTTTCATGCTATTCCTGACACAGACAGCATGTTTACTCAGCAAGTGGACGTTTCTCAACACAACTCCCCCCCCCAAACTTGACTGCCTCCCATCATCCTGCACTTTGTCATGCATGTCTTTAACTGCCATGAATTTTTTTTTTTTTTTTTTAAAAAAAAAAGGACTATTGATTACTGCAACACATTTGTTTCGTTTTTTAAAAAAAATAATAATCAGTTGCTTATGTTTGTGTTTGTTTGTATTTTTGAAAAATGCATGCTTTATTTATTTATTTATTTATTTACTTTTTACACATGCAAACATTCACTGCTAACAACAAAAAAAGTGAAAAATGTCTCTTGTTACTTGCAATCACAAAACACTAGCATTTTTTGCCTGCTCTTTTCAATTTATTTATCATTTGACTTGCATGTTTTTTGTTTTCTTCTGCTTTTTTTTTGTGCCAACTTTTACTCTTTTTTTTTTTTTTTTTTTTTTTTTTTTTAGTCATAGCAAATCAAGTTTTACCTGTTTACTTTTTAGTTTTTATAATTTGTTTTTCCTCTTTGTCTCATAATAGTGATGGTGAATTTAGCCGTTTCCAAACAGGAAACATTCGACACTCATTGACCAAAAGGTTAGAGTTACTGTCGGTTGAAATTTACACAATGCTTTTCTTAACCGACTTAGACTAAATAATGATCTTCATTAGTTAATCTATGGAATGTGTATATGAAAATAACAACTATTATGGGATAGAGATAGATTTTTTTATTTCATTTTTTTTTTTTTCATTTTATTTTTTTGCTTTGTTGTTGTCTTTGACATGCTGCCTTCCCTCTCACAGGCCTTGCTCTGTACAGATTACATCACCAACTAGATCACCTTTTCTTAACAACCAGGAGTCACGGATCACAGGGCAACTATTTTAATGTCATCATTGTCAGCATAATGTCATACCTTCCCCCCACTGGGCTTGAGTTATGAGGCAACCTCTCTAATTTGCCCTTCACTTGTCTCCCCAAATTTTATTTTTCACAGGGGAAGCAAGAGATGGGTGATATAGGGAACCCACTCAGTCATTTCTTGATTTAAAAATTTCATTTTGGGGAAAACAAGAAAGCTTAAATAATATTGGATTTTATTCTTTTGTTTGTTTCATATTGGGAATTTGTTTGAATGAATTTTGTTTTTAATTTTTTTTATCTTTACATAACTCCATTAAATAGATTTTTAAATGTTTTTGCATCTGTGTGAGTGTGGTTGTATATATATATTGTTTATTTTTTGTTGTTGTTTTAAATATATATAAAAAAAAATATAAAAAAAAAAACAGTCATCGATTTCCCAGCCAGCATTATCCATGGTAAGT